CTCATGGGGAGCCTCTGCTCTAATGGGGACAACAGGCAAGAACCACCAAGAGAAGGGTTGGAGAGATGGCTCAGTGGTTAAGAGCACCGGTTGCTCTTATGGAAGACCAGGGTCCCAGCACCCATGAAGTGGCTGACAACCATCATAACTCCAGTCCCAGGGGATCAGACACCCTCTCTGACCTTTCTGGGCTTCAGGCACACAGGTGGTGCACATGCATACATTCAGGCAAAACACTCATATACATAAAATAAAATAATAAATCTAAAAGAAACGTTTTAAAAAAAGAATCATCAAGGGTCTGGTATTAGGAACAGGGACCTGTGAGTTCTGGATCTGGAGGTCAGGAAAGCTTCTCCAGGGTGGGTGTTTCTGCAGAGCCTGGAGGCTGAGGCCCTGAGCCGGTCAATACAGTCCCAGGCATGTGCACATCTGCTTGGAGCCAGCTGATTATGGATTAGGAATGGAAGCCTCAGCACTACACACATTGGTAATGGAGAGCCCTTGGCTGTGGGGCTGTCCTGTGTATTGCAGGCTGTTTTGTGGTACCCATCAGCTCTCCCCATTAGATGCAGGGGTGCCAACACATGCATGCACACGCACACGCAAAAGCACGTGCATATGACACACATGCACACACTGCAGGCATAGCAGTCAGTGTCTCCAGATGTTGCTGAATTTCCTGCAGGGGAGCAGGAAGGGAACAAAATCGTCCACAGGGCAGGATCTCAGTGTCTCATGCAACACCAGCTTCCAGTGGCAATTGTTGGTGTCTTCATCTTCCCTCTACTGCCAGTGGCACTGGCTGTTTATTTCCCATAGTGATCTGAGGTTTCCTTTCTGAGTAAATCTCAGTTACATAGAAATTGAGTGACTTAGGCAAAAAATGCTAAGTCAATAAAAGCAAGTTTGGCCTGCGGCAATGGTGAAGCTATCGGGGAGTGTCTGGGGAAGGGGGGATGAGGGGCACTCCAGAATCCAGGGCTGCAACAGCCCTCTAGGAATATGGAGGCATGCTCTAGACGTGTGGCCTGCAGGCGACAAGCCTGGGAATGCTGAGGCAGAGCACCCAGAGGGCAAACCTCCTCCCTGGGCTCAAAGATTTCCTTCAGCCTCCTTAAGGGCAATGTTTCTTGACTGGGCACCAGTAGACCATGGAGATCTGTACCTGAACACTTGAACTACGTATGGTGGCTCACACCTGCCATCCCAGCACCTGGGAGGCAGAGGCAGGAGACTCTTGAATTTGAGGTCAGCCTGGGCTGCGCAGCAAGACCCTGTCTCCAAAACAGAAACAAAACAAGAGAACACAGGCTGCTGGAAATGCTTCCTGGCAGGCGCAAGGGGCTCCGGGACCTGTGTGGGAGGCTCCCATCCAGGCTCTCTCATCTGTCTCTGTATCTGTCACCCCGTGCTGTCCCTCTCCCGTTTGTCCCTGTTCTTCCTCTCTGAATGTCCCTTTGATTCTCTCTCTGATTTTTCCCTCTCTAGCTCCCGCCCCACGTCAGTCTCCCCCACTCTCCAAGCCATCCAACTCATCTTTCCACAAGATAAACAAGGCAAAGATTGTTCACATTTGCAGATCAGCACTGGATTCTCTCCCATTCTCCCACTTTGCCCACAAGAGTGCTGCACGCACAAGTACAAGCCTACAACAGGTTGAGGACTGTCATCACCCCTGCCCACAGCAGCCCAGCCTCCCTGCCGACTCTCCCGTCCCCCTGTCCCTGGCATCAGCTGAACATCATGTCCTGTTCTGAGCTTCTGCTCAAGAAACTGCCTGCACATGAGGAAAATCAGGGGACAGGCCACTGTCCTACAGCACACCCCAGAGAGCCTAAGCTGATGGCCTCAATTCTTGGGAACTTTACAATTTGCAAAGCACTCCAACCATCCTGCAGTGCCTTCCCCTTGGCCCAGGCAAACTGAGATGGTCATAGGCTGAGACAGGTAAGAGTGAATCTCACAGAGGGAAACACCCCACTCAGGGTAACAACAAAAGGAACGATGTATTTGAGCAGAGGCCTGTTCAACCCAGAGTCCAGATGTTTTCCCACTCCATCACAGCCCATTCATTCACTAATTCAGTCAACCAATCTCGAGCACCAACCACCTTTCAGGGGACAGCTTTCAGACATCCCCTCCCCCGGGCCTACTGAAGTCTTACAGTGTCACATAGGCAGTTTGTGACTTGGCTATCCAGAGTGGGGAGGCCAGGAGATAGACCTTTTCCTTCTAGGCAAAACATCTTCTGTCCTGTGTCAGATTCTGTCAGCTGCCACCTTTCCAGGGACAAACAGTGGACTAGCCTGTGCTCACCCCTCTCAAAATAGCTGCTGGGGAGTTTGCAGCTTCTGGGAAAGCAGGCTGCAGAGGCTATGGATGAGGACAGTTGTCCCTGAGTGGAGAGTTTCCATCAAGGGACATGTCTTCTGAGGCTTCTGAGGACTCTTGTACTCCTTGGCTATCTGTGGCAGCAGAGCCAGCATCTCTCTGGAGGGATGGGGTAAGGCAGGCCCAGGGAGACAAACAGCTTCTCAGGGTTGATGACCAGGTGGAGACAGAGGGAAGGGACAGGAAGGCCCCTTACATGGCTAGCACAGGGGCTGCCCCTGCAGTGGGGACTTCAGTGATGGCTGTAAAGGTGACATCACTTTCTTAGAGTTAGCAGTCCCAGCTCTTGGCACGTGCCCTGAGATATACTTCTCCATGGGCAGATAAGTAGACAAGGATGTGCATTATAGCAGAGGATGGAAACCCCTAAAAATCTGCCATGAGGGACTGACTAAACTATGACAACAGAGATGTATATAGTCACCCTTGACCTTAGCGCTCACCCCTCTGTCCTCCTTGTTACCCCAGACTGCCGAATTGTGAGTCTGCCTCAGGACCTTTGCACCTACTGTCCTCCCTCCTAGAAAGACTCTTCCCTGATGTCCACATCTTGCTGCTTGACTCTGTCTCAGGTTTTTCCACATGGCATGACTAGGGCGTTGGAGGCTGTGTTCCATGGGCTTTGGAAAAGCCACTGTAGACTAGTAGTCATACTAATGAGATCCTTGAACCCAGGGAAATCAACATCTTAGGGTACTTTCAAATGCCTCCAAGCAACTCAAACCAGAGGGATGGTGTCCTGGTTGGTTTTATGTCAACTTGACATAAGCTAGAGCCATCTGAAAGGACCACAATATAGAAAATGCCTCCATAAAATAGGGCTGTCATAAAATAGGGCTGTAGGCTCTAGGACATTTGCTTAACTGGTGATTGTGGATGGGGATACCCCAACCTGGTGGTCCTGGTGTTTAAGAATGCACACGAACACACATAAAAACACATAGCCATGTACCCACACATGCACATACCATGTGTTCACCCATACAGGAAAGAATGATACACAGCTTTGGAAAGCTGAGTAAGTTGGGTTCAGATCTCAACATATTTGCTCATGTTCTATGAGTTTCTGAAAATGATACTTTGTTCTCCAGGGGTTTATCTGGGGCTGGGGTAATGTTATTCTTTATATAATTAGTAGTTCTAGCTTACAAATTGCTTATAGTCTTCTGTTTCTCTGTTTCTGAGCACGTTAAAGAGCTCTGATTACAACTGTGGGGTTATCGATTTCCTCATGAGGTTCAGCTGGTTATTGTTTTGAGTTGTATTTAATTGTCATCACTATTTTATGGTGCTAGGGCATCATGGTAAGCAACTGCTTGGCACATTGAAGCCTGTGTTGCCAGGTAGTTGCTGAATAAATGCTTTCTTAGTTTATTTTTATAGATAGTTCTTTTTATAGCTATTGCTTCCTTACTTGACCCTTATGATTTTTTTTTGGTCCTAAATTCTATTTAGTCAGATAAGGAAACAGTTTGCCCAGATCACTTTGGTTCCTGTTTCCCATGAGTGTCCTTACCCATTCTTCTCTCATTTACATTTCTACCTCTCTTGGAACACACTTCCTATATAGTTGAATCTGACTTGTTTTTATTCCATAACCCAAGAGTTCTTCCTATTAGTTGCTGGATTTAACCCAGTTACATTTAATATAACCCAGATTTCTTTGTACAGCTCCAGCACTTGCTGATTGGGCCACTAATATTTCAGAGGCACAGGCTGACCCAAGAAAGCTATAGGCAGCTCACAGGAACCTCGTGGTTCTGATATGGTGATCAGGAAGTCCAAACTCTTCATAGTGTGGCAGCAAAACAGAGCCACAAGCCCAGGAAGATTCCGTGGCTCCATGAAGACCCTCCTAACTGCCCCCCACCAAGGGGTTGGTGCTCTGTTAGAATTGTCATAATCACACAGCTGCAACTAAGGTGAGAGACTACCAAGCCGCGTGAACTACGTACATGAGTACAGTATGAGTTAGGTGCTGGAATCTTGAGGGGGGAATCCTGTGTCTCCTGAAGCTTCAGGAAGGTTTTCTTCTTATGGTGGCCTCACCAGCTCCAAGCTCAAAGCAACTAGTACCAACAGAGCGTCTCAGATATCCCACAGATAAACACTACATGTTTAACCCTCGATCACGCTTGCATGGTGGAGGTGGAGCTGGGATGCTTGGATTGGCCAGGCTATGGAACTGGGTGGGGAGTGATCAACATAGCCCAAGACTAGAGAACAAGTTTCCAAGGGACAGCCACAGCCATTTAAAGAAAGCAGAGAGGTAAAGCAGAAACCCGCTGGAAGCGTTGTAACCTTAGCACAGTCAGAGACCCTGTTGTAGCCCCCAGCCCCCACCGACAGCAGCTTTTCCCTGCAGTTCTCCGCCATGTCTTCAAAAGTCAAGGTCGTCATCTGGACTGAATCTTCTCAGAGGCAGCTGTGATCTCTCCCTCTGCCACCTGCAGCCACCACCAAGCAATGTATCATGAGATGAAATTACAGTGACCTTCAGAAAACTACCAGTCTGCCTCAGACCAAATAAGGCTCAGCTGCTTGGACCTCAAGTTAATCCCAAGCCAGAAAAACAAGACCCCAGAAGGCTCTGGCAGGAAAGATGAAGGCCACAAGCCCCTGTGGATGGCTCCCAAGAAAACTCTCCACCTCTGCCTGTGAGACTAGGACCTGGCTCTGCACTCTAGGGCAAGGCCCTCCCTCCCCAGTGGCTCTACATCAGCCACAGGAAGGGCCCACCCACATACACAGACAGCCACACAGGGCAGCCATCTTCTCAACTGACAAACTCACAGAGGCTAGCTCTCAGTGGTTCATGAGGTGCCAGAGACACTGAGGTAACCGCCGTGGGCTCAGGAGCTGCTGTGTGCATCCCTGGGCCTCCTCAAAATTGGGCCCAGCTCTGTTGCCCGATGCTGGGGGCTGAGATGGTATGCCAGCTACATAAATACTTTGGCTTCTAACCAAGGAGAGCTTCAGTCCCAGAGTCCTCCTTGCTTCCTCCCAATCATTGTTTTAGTGGTCCTGTGCTGTGGGACATTAGGGTCCTGGCCTAATTGTCGGCTGGTTCTGGCCTGGACCACTGAGTATGTCTTTCTGAACTGGACTTTGAAGGCACTGGGAATCAGCATTGACTCTATCCCCTGGTCACCTGGTTAAGGAGTTCCTACACCAGCATGACCTGGGACCAACCTCTGGCTGCTCTGTCCGTTTGACCAGGAACCCAGGAGCCTTTCAAGCATTGGCAGATGTAGCAGCTGCTACACAGAGGTGAGGAGCATGGGGGATGGCGATGGTGGTGGAGGTAGGTGGTCACACTGGGATGGCGTTGGTAACAGGGCTTAGCACCATGTCTGTCTCTCACCCTCAGAACCTCCAAATCTCTCCTCAGGCTTTCCTTATGACTTTATCTGTATGCCTCTCTGTTTCTGTGTTTCTGTCCTGTGCATAGGGACTTCCATCCTTCTCCGTGACTGATGGTCTCTGACTCTACCCATCGTGTGACCCAGAGGCCACACAGAAGAAGATGGATAAGACCTAGGACTGATGCCTGGATATCCCAGGCCTGTCCTAGACTCCTGGCACACTGCCTCTGAGCTCCCAGCATCCTTTGCAACACCAGTCTTTTAAGTCCATTAAAACTGATAGAAACCAGCCGTTCTGCTAGCTCGGGTTTTACTCTCCGATTTTATTAAACTTGTTCAAATTCTTACCTCTTCCAATCCCCTGGGAAGGCCTGAGCCTGGGGCCAGGCTCATCTGGATGAACGGCCTGGTGGCCTACACAGTCCCTAGCTTACAGGGGCGTGCAAAGGATTGGTGGAATTCAAACCACAAATGACCAGGAGCTGCTTGTTCTGCAGCCAGGATTCTCACGCTTCCAGGCTGCCCTAGCCAGCAGTGCCCGGTTCCCCTCTAGAACCTTCCGACCCTGAGGGGGCTGTAGCGTACTTGGAACCCTCTGCCTCACTCACTGCACCAACATACAACATCATCTAAATGCCAGGCATGGGGACTGCCGCAGGAGCCTTGGCATGACTGTTCCCCGAGGCTAATGAGGAGAAGGACATAACTCGAAGTAAAATCAATCATTACCCATACAGAAATAGAAACACGTGCAGCCGTGATTGAAGCTGGCAGCCTAAGGGCTGAATCCAACCTGCAGGTGTTGGTGAAAGCCAGGAGAACGGATGAGGCTTTTGGCCAACATTTGAAAACTGGAGGATTTCCATTAAAATATGGGAGTTTTGGCTTCTCTTGTAAGAGTCAAAAATGCTGGCCTCACTGGGTTTCCATCCTCCTGGTGGCTGCTATGGTCTGAGTATACGTCCCAACCAAATTCACCTGCCATGATGCTGGAAATTAGGTATTAGCAGGTGGATCTTGGGAAGTGGGGGCGGAGCCCTCACGCTGGGGTTAATGCCCTTCTGAGACTAGATAGCAGGGAGCTATGTGGTTCTGCTAAACCACAAGGATGTAGCTAGAAGGTGCCTTTTATAAACCAGGAAGCCCTCAGCAGGCATCCAAGCTGCCGGTGTCATGATCCTGGGCTTGTGCAGCCTCTAGGGCCGGGTTTATGGCCTTTCCACGCTAGCTCCCATTGACTCAGACAACACTTGTCTCTTGAGCTGTGTGAGCTGCCCTGTTTTGGGGCTCAGATAGAGCTGAGGGAAGATGGAGAATTTGATAGAAGGCATACTGTGGTGCCATCAGCTCCTTGGCCACTGTCCTTGGCTGTCACCCTGCAATATTTCAGCATATTCATATGCCCATGTTTACTTCCAGGCTGCTGATGGCGTGTGAGCTCCACCATGAAGGGATAAGCATAGCCCCGTGTGGCTTGGCCTTCCCAATGGCTTCAAAAAGAAAGTGATCTAGGAACCACAAGTGTGTGAGGAAATCAACCTGTTAGCCCCGGGGGGTAGGGAGTAAAAGGGGCTACCTGCTCCCAGGAGCTCTGACTCGGGTGAGTCCCAGCTGCCATCCATCTCTCCGCACTCACCCTGGAAAGCCAAGAGCAAGCATCTGGGTGAGGAGCTGCCATTGTGGCTGAAGGACCACACAAAGGAGGCTCCTGTAGTGGAGAGGGTCTAGGGGAGTGACTAGGGCTCATTTGTTTTTCAGTATACTGGGAATGGAACCCAGGGCATTGCACACACAAGGCAGCATTCCACCACGGAACTGCATCCTCCAGCCTCCTTTTGATGTGTACAGCTAGTTTTCCTCTTTCGTGGTTCAGGCACACCCTGATCCTGCCTCCTCAGAATCTGGGATGAGGGGCCTTGTCTTGGGACTCACTTTGTATGCAGGGGGAGAGATGGGTCTGTGTGGCTGTGCCCTGCCTGTCTGCCTCACATTTCCTTTCTTCCACTGCTCTTTCTGTCCCTCTCTGTCCCTGTGTCTCCCTCATACAGGTGTGCTCTTCTGTCCTAGTGGGCCTGGTCCTCATCTTCCTCTCCTTCCTGTCTCTTGCCTAAGCCTTCCTTCTTTTCTCTGGCTCCTCCATCCTTGCCTTGCAGAGACCTAAAAAATGGTGTTGTTTTCTACTGTTATTTCTGCCTCCAGCCTCACAGCCCAGGAGCTGGGCAGGTGTCCCTCAGTGTTCCCAACACCTGGACCACACACCCAATCCCATCACAGCCCCTCCTCCATGCCTCTCACCCCCCTTCTCCAGCCCACAGAACTTCCCTGCGGAGGGGGGGGCGTGGCTACAGCAGAGTAGTGACAGAGGGACTGAGGATAGACCAAGCAGGGCCAAGCTCCCAGAGTCGGGCTACACGGATCAAATAGAGCACCAAGAGATGGGAAATGGCGTTGAGATGACAGCAAAGGACTGTATCCATGCCAAGAAGCTCAGGTTTTGTCTACCAAAGGAGTAACTATCCACAAGAATGATAGATCCAAGACGATTAAATAGGCCAAGGGCAAACTCAATTTGGTAGACTGTGACATCTCTTAAGGGACTAGAACCTGAGTAACACACAGAGCTGGCTATGCATTTGATAAATGCTCACCTTCAGTTAAACAGCCAGGTAGCAATAGGGCACTACACTGTGGGCTCCACCAGTGGGCACACTGACCAGAGATGTGTACTTTTCCACATTTCTCCTTTTTCTTCGTTTTCATTCAGCAGGCTTTGGACTATCGCCACCCCCATTACCCAAACCTATTGGCAAAATGCTTCCTATTACTTCCCATCTTCAAAGCCTGACTTATTGAGCAGATTCTGCTGGGGTGAGGAGTGAGTAGGAGCTGGGGGTGAGGGTGGGGAGATGGGAGACTGGGCTGAGGGTCTGGGGTGATGTCCCCTTGGCTATCACAATGGTTAAAAGCATGTGACCTAGCAGTTCCTCTCCTAGACTTATGTTCAACATCATTATTCCAGCAGCCCAAAGGTGGAAACAGACCAGTTTCCTTCAACTGAGGAGTCTATAAAGAAAACGTGGTATGTCCATACGATGCGCACTCATGCAGCAATAGAAAGGAATATGATTCTGGTCCCTGCTGCAATATGGATAAATCACAAACAGACTGCACTAAATGAAAGAAGGCAGTCATAAAAGGCAATATGTCACATGACCCATTTCCATGAAACGTCGAGACATTATAGGGTGAAAAGTGAACAATGATCACCCAGGGTTGGAAACAGACAGTAACTGCTCCTGGGTTTGAGATTTATTTAAGGCTAATGGAATGTTTTAAAATTAGACTATTGTGATGCTTACTAAAAATTACCTAAAATTCCATACTTTACATGGGAAAAGATTATGATATGTAAATTATACCTTAATAAAGTTGTTTTTAAAACATTTTTTATAATTAAAAAGTAAGGAGACTCTTCCATAAAAAAGCTGAGGTTTTGGCATTTCTTGAATGCCATGCATACTTCTCCATGGCAACCATAAGCTGTGGGACATGTGTCCCCAACTTTACCCTGGCTGTTGTACTGCCTGTTGAGGTCTACCTGGGTGGCTTTGTTAGCATGTGTCTCTCGTACGGAACGCTTGTTTGCACGCTGGACAAGAGCCTTGTTCACATTGGTAAGAGCATAGGTGCTGATGCTCCCAGGCCCCTTCTTCCTTCCCATGCCTGTCTCCAACAGCTACGTGACTCGGACTAGAAAGGCCCGTGTGGACGCAGGTGGAGGCTCAGCCCAGCACTCAGGCGTGCGTGCTGGGAAGTTAGTGTTGCTGATGGGGTCCATCTAACTTTTCTCAGCTGCGAAATAGCAACATCATAGCACCTGGCTAGCAATCGCAAACAAATGCAAACTAGTGACTTCAGATGTAATTTTAGACAGGGCCTTGTTATGTGGTGCAAGCTGGCCTACAGCTCACTATAGCCCAGGTTGGCCTTGAACTCACAATCTTCCTGCTCTAACTTCCTAGATGCTCTTATTATAGGTGTCAGCCACCACCCCAGGCTGAGTCTAACTAATATCTTGCCCTGCATTTTACAGTTACCAGAAGCTCTGAAGCCTGGGAGCTTTTCTAGAACTCATTTGGCTATACACATGACTTGGCTTGAATTCATAGACACCTCGGCTGACCACAAGGACATGTCCTATTATCATGTGGAGATGTGGGCAGGTGAGTCCTGAGTGCTGCCAGGCTGCTTCTGTGTGCTTCAGAATGGGCAGTCTATGTATTATGTTCCCTTACAAATCCAAAAAGTGCTGAATTCTAGAACATTCTAGTCCCCAGAAAATTGGGAACTGTGGGCTGTACAAGGAAGAGAGAGGATTATGACCACCTGTTCTGCTTTGCCTGATATCACATAAGATTATAAAACCATGGTGAGGCACCAAAAGCAGTAGGAGAAAGGGCCTGAACATTTCCGAAGCTGAATCTTCTGCCAGCCCTGGGGTATGGAAGCTTAGAGTCAGAACTGAGATTCCAGGCAGAAGCAGATGTGTGCTGCCCCTGTACACCTTAGCTCAGAGGTGAGAGTAGCCATGGCCATGTCTGGAGGACTATGTGTGGAGAACTTGACTGGGACCACAATCTCAGGGCACAGGGGGACCAGAAGATACTGCCAAAGCCTGCAGCATCCTGCACCCAAAGGGGGTCCTGGGTGTCCAGGCCTAGTAATGCCTTCCTGTAGACCCTTAGGTCCTTATGTCAAACTCGGGAGCTATCTTGGCCCTCTCCTCCCTCTAATGTTATTGGTGACTCCAGTTTCCCCAACCAAGGCACAGCTGAGAACCGGTACCCGCTTGGCTGTCCACTAAACCCTTCTTAGGAAATAAACAATGTGACTGGGCTTTGTCCCTGATTCCTGGAGAGGGATGAGTTGCTCTAAATCCTAAGACTTTGCCCATATTAGGAGTGCCTGTTATTCTGGAGCCCCTTGCACTGTGCATAAGCTTGTATTGATGAGATGAAGTGACTTGTTCTGGTCACCAGAACAGCATGAGGGGTGGGGCTTTGAGCAAGCCTATGGGAGTGAGACACGGGGACATGATGAACTTCCCACTCCATGATCTTCTGTTAGAACAATCCAGAAAGGACTGAAGCATCTGTGTGGTTTGCACCAGAACTACATTGGCTAGTGTTACACACTGGTCTTTATGTAACTTTCTGTGGCAGCCCCCAAACCATATCTCCTGGGCCTAGGCCCAGGCCCTGGCCCCTTGAAGCTTGAGGCTACCTGGGGCTTCCTTCCTTAAGCACTTGGTCTACTGGGTGAGAGATAACAGGAATCTCATAGTGCAGGAGGGACCCTGAGCCACTGGTGGATGGGAGCTAGTGAACAAAGACCCCTTGAGAACCCCTTGAGTTAGCAGTTCTGCCTGGGCTCTGAAGCCTCCTATGAACCCAGCGGCCAGAGGTGGTCACCTGCTCATCTGTGCTCCCTTTCCTAGCTTCGCTCCTCCTGACCAGCTTCTCTGCACTTCTGCCACACTCCCTGGGATTGCCTCCTTCCCCCAAGCATCATGGGATTGCCTTCCAGGAAACCTCAGCTTAGGGTCTATGCTAAGGCTAGTGTTTGAAATGGGGCTTATAGGCTCATGTGTTGAGCGCTTGATCCCCCAGATGGTGGTGCTGTTTCGGAAGGTTCTAGAAACTTTAGGAGTTGTGGCTATATGTCTTTGAGGGTTATACATTGCCCTAACCTCCTCTGTCTCTCACCCTATGCCTCCTAGCCTCCATGGGTGAGCCATTCTGCTCCCATGTTGTCAGGAAGCAACGGAGCTAGCTGACCCATGCTGAACTCTCAGACACTATGATCCAGTATGAGCTTTAAGCTGCTACTCTGGGGTATTTTGTCACAGTAACACAAAGTCTGATTAACACTGAGAAAACTGGTGCCGGAGAAGTGAGGTCACTGCTGTGACTACCTGACATGTGTTTGGGAAGTTCTTGCAGTTGGATTGCAGAAGTTTGGAAATTGGAAGGTTCCAGCTAGAGAAGCCCTAGAACCTGCCTGTGAGCTTAGCTTAGTGAAGGATCCTGGTGGGAGGTTGGAGGACCAGGATAGAGGCAGGAATGCAGACAAGCAATGCTGTTGAACTTTCATTTAGCAACAAACAGACTAGATGCCATTCATGTTACATTGTGGCAAAGAACTTGTCAACATTTTTCCATGCCTGAGATTCTGCGGAAAGCTAAGTCTAAAGGCAGCGGACTAAGTAATCTGGAATTTTAAGACAGCCTGGCATGCAGAATGTGGCTTTAAACAAGTTCATAGTGATCATTTGGGGCAAAGACCAGAGCAGACAGATTTGGGAGGCTTCTTGCTTTGTCTGAAAAGGATCACGCTTAGTGCTTTTGACATGGAGGATATGGTTGTTAAAGAGAATGCACCATTTAAAAAAAAATCCATGAATATATTGGGCAGTGAATATGATCCAAACACATTGTGTGTATGTGTGTGTGTGTGTGTGTGTGTGTGTGTGTGTGTGTAAATGGCCTAATGAAACTCAGACTTTGTACAGTTTGATATATGCTTATAGAAAAGGTAGGGGCTTTGCACCTAGAAAATAGGAAGGATGTCTGTGGACATCTTGGAAATTGACAGGATCTATGTACTTTTAGGGGATAAAAGTGAAAACACATCTAAAAAATTACCTCTTAAGAAGAGTGCACTGCAAACACCACCCTGATCCCCGGTCAAGACCCAGGCAGGCACTCAGCTGCTGGCTACTGTTCAAATGCAGAAAGATCCTGACTTCATCCACACGTGCTAGCTTTGCAGGCACACAGAGTGTAAGAGTTGCAAGGACATGCAGGCTTCCACCCAGACTTCAGAGGCAGGTCCAGAAGGACAGGCATTGAACAGCTGAGCCAGATTCCCTGAAGGCAGCCCCCGAGACAGCAATTCATGAAACTGTAGGAGGTGGGGTAGGGGTGAGAGCTGGGGGGGTACTTTCAACGGAGACCATGGGAAGCTGGAGATGCCAGAAGCATGCAGGGTCAGTTGAGGAGGCCAACCACAGCAGCAACCCAGGAGAGAAGCTAAATGGACTGAGGCTAACACTGCGGTAGGGGTGCCGATGCTGCCCAGGTCTTCAGAGTTTGTATCATCCACCATGTGTCCCGGGTGCCAGATACAGCTACAGGAATCAGCACTTGGGCTGCTGGGCTTCAACCTTTCATTGGGTCAATTGTTGCCTGTCATTTTCCAGTTGCTCCAGTTTTGGAACAGGAATGTGTTCTCTGATGCATGGACTCTCAAGAGTGTGTGACTGGTTCTTTATGGTTCATTTTGTTGGGTTTTCAAACTCTGACCCCATGCTAAGAGCTCTCCTTGAGTCTCGGAAGAGACCTGAGACTTCAACTTTTGAACAATGCTGAAACTATTAACACTTTGGGAACTCTTGAATGTAGAACAAACGCACCTTGCATTATGAGCTGGGCCACAAATCCTTGGGACCAGTGTGGGATGTTATGGTTTGAACATCAGCTGTCCCCACAGGCTTATATTCACCTGGGGAGTTGCTGGAAACTTCAGAATTGGGCTTGACTGGAAGAAGTAGGTCAGTGTGGGTGTGTTCCTGGAGGCTATATCTTGCCCTGGCCTCCTCCTCCCTCTCTCCATCTCTCTCTCTCTCTCTCTCTCTCTCTCTCTCTCTCTCTCTCTCTCTCTCTCTCTCTCTCTCTCTCTCTCTCCATCTCTCTCTCACTCTCACTTTTTCTCTTACTCTTTCTCTCTCTGTCTGTTTGTCCCTCTGGCTGGCTGGTCGGCTCTCTCTCTCTCTCTCATGCCTGCCCACTATGTTGAGATTGGTCCTGCTACAACATGTGCTTCCTCCATGATTCTCTGCCTTACACAGTATGGAAACAATGGAACCAGCCAGATCATAGCCAGAACCTTCCAGAAATGAGAGCCAAAAAAATTTATCTTTCTCTTTTAAATTATTTCTCCCCAGTATTTTGTCATAGGGATGAAAATGTTCACAGTTTTTAGCGAAGGAACTGCTATTCCTGGGACCCTGAGCCCCTTGGCTCCACCTCAGAACCTCTGTCAGTCCTCTGACTTAACAACCTGTCTGGGTTTGTTGTCAGCTAGTTCCCTGTTCCCACCATTGCCCATACCCTGCTTGCTAATAAGTCCACAGCGTGGAGGACACTCAAGGAGCAGGCCTTTCTACCTCTAGGGCCTCTGTGGGTCTGGAGTCCCATGACTAGCCTTCTTTCCTACTGACAGGGTAGGAGATTGGCTAATGCAGGCAACACTCTAAGGGCCTGGCTGTGCCTGATGCTTGGTCAGCCCATGCTTCCAGTTACTGAACAAACTAATATCACTACCCTCTCTTCTTTCATCCAATTTGATTATGTTCTTGTCACTAGCAGCCAAAAGAATTTTAGTAATATGCAAATTTTCATTTATATGACTTAGATTCTCTGCATTGTTGTGGTTTAAATCTTCAACATCCCTCACAGACTTATGTCTGGCTCACAGCTTGAGGCATGATTTTGAAGGCTGTGGAAACTTTAAGGGGCAGGGACTGACTGTCATAAGTAGGTCACTAGGGTCTTTGACCCAGGTTCTGACCTGTCATCTCTGCTTTCTGGGTCATCATTATGTGAGCAACTATTGCCACATGCTCCTGTTGCCATGGACAGAGCTACTCCACTCTGCCTTGCCCACTGATGGCCTGAAATCCCTTTGAAGCTGTGAGCCAAAATGAGCCTTCGCCACATAAGCGCTTCTATCAGGGTTTGTCACAGTGACAGGAAGGTAACTAACACAGTGTTGCTTATTTTCTTCCTCCTCCTCCTCCTCCTCCTCCTCCTCCTCCTCCTCCTCCTCCTCCTCCTCCTCCTCCTCCGCTTCTCTCTTTTTGGGGCAGGGTCTCTCTTTATAGTCCAGACCAGCCTTAAACTCATGATCCTTCTGCCCTAGTTTCCTGAGTGCTAGATCATGGAGCCACCCCACATGACACCCCCTGCGATTGTGAGCCACAAAAATCTACCTAACTACTTCCCTTCTGGGGTGTGGGCAAGAGACCTAAAGAACTATGGCAAGGGGAGGGTCAAACAGTGAGGGTTGTAGGTGGCAGCTCTTACAGCATGAGTTTTGATGGTGAAGCAGAGAGTAGAATTGGACCCCCAGGGAACTCATCCTGTCTGTGGCAGGCTACAGCAGGAACTAAAGCCACCATAAACCCACCAGTCTCCAAAGTAGGAGTAAGCTCCAAGTATGAATGTGAGGCCCTCACCCAGGGAGGGTGGGGACTGAGCGCAGCACTCCACCCCAATCACAGGCAGGAGGCAGGAGTGGGCTCAGAACTAGCCCCACAGACCAGGGTCCCAATGAAGGGTTTACAGATGAGTTAGAGTGGACCCAGAGCAATCGAGCTCCCAGGCCCCATGATGGGTGGAGGGTAGCCACTCTTTCTTTCCCACCTAGTTCCTCAGACTAGGGGTGTCTGCAATGCAGAGGGATCCTTTGAGATCCAGAGTTCGAGCCTCCCCCACCCCCCCACACACTGGCTTGGTGGTGTCCATACCTGGCCCTGTGCTTGGACCCACAGCTCACCTTTAAAACATTGCCCAAACCCTAGCTTTCAAGTCCTTGTTAGTTTTTATTTTATCCCTGATGTTCCTTTTCTTGTTACGTAAGAAAACAGGCTATTGCTGAATTCACACAGCTGGTTATTTCCAGGGAAACGGACAGGTGTCTCTTCATGCCATGAGGATTTTACTGAAAACCCACAGTGAGCTGGAATGTGAAGGAATTTTCCAAATGGCTTGTTTTCCTAGATCAGCTGCATTCTCCCCAGGAGCTAGAGGAGAGCGGAAATCGTCCTGCCTGCTTGCAGTCAGTCTTTCTGGGGCTAAGGCTCCATTCCCTGGAGGATGGAGGAGGTTCCAACACCCCTCAGCTGACACCACAAGGTGGGGGAAGGGCCGCCAGTGTGGAATTAGTCCCCCAAGCATCAGAAACCCTGTGGTCCCCATAGGCCTTGAGCACTGCTCCTTCATGAGTGCGGGAATGAAATGTCTATTTATTGTTTTGTTTTATTTTCAGACAGGGGCTTTCTATGTAGCCCAGGTTAGCCTAGAATTTTCAGTCCTCTTGCCCCACCTCCCAAGTTCAGGATTTCAGATGCTTAACAGGACCCCGGCCTCTTTGGTTGACTTTTAGTTGTATAAATATAAATACAACACAATCTGGAACATTCTTACAACTTTGTTATTTTTTTGAAAATGTATAATTTAAAATTTTTAATTAAAATAATTCATACACTTTTATGACACTGTGACTGGAACCAGGCTATGCATGAGCTAGGTGAGTCTTGAACCGATGAGCTATGACCTCGGTTTAGTGTTTTTATTTTTAGGTGATACACAGTAACTGTAGATATTTGGGGGTGGTGTGACATTCCACCACAAGCATGTGGTTTGTTGGTTAGGACAGTTGACATATCCATCTGTGTTGGTGAATCTTCATTGTCAACTCCATAAACTTTAGAATCACCATGGAAACAAACCTCTGAGCATGTCTAAGAGGATGTTCCCAGAAAGGCTTAGCAGAGCATGGTGACACCTCCCACCCCACACTTGGGCGGTGCCGTTCCTTGGGCTGGGGTGAATGAGAGTTCATCTTCTGCATCCTGCCTGTGGCTGCAGTGACCAGCTGCCTCATGCTCCTGCCTCCGTGCCTTCCCCACCAGGGTGGACTGTGCCTTTGCACTGCAAGCCAAAGCAAACCTGCCTTCCTTCCTTAAGTGGCTTTTACCAGACGCTTGTCACAGCAACAAGAAAAACAATAACTAATACACATCACCTCCAACATTTAGCTGTTCTCCGTGTCAAACCCATTCAGACTTCCTCTTCCTCCTAGTCCTCCTCCTTTTTCTCCTGGCAGGGTTTTGCTATGTAACCCATGTCCAATTATTGTCAACCACAACTACCTTCCTATGCAATAAGACATGACTCAACCCTCTAACTACACCCATTTAATTATTTATTATGTTAATTTTCTCTTCAGATTTAAGCACCTGAACTCGGAGCACTATGTGAGTCCCTCCAAGTGCGGTTCACCTCAGGCCCCACGAGTTCACAGTGGGAACAGTGGGACGGCATTGCCATCCTAGTCCTCAGGATCACCACCCGTACAATCGCTGCTAGTAGAGAAACCAGAGAGTCACCTAGGCCTGACAGCCTTCACTGTGGATCCCACGTGAGTGCCTGGGCCAGGCCTCTCCCAGAGTAGGCTGCTACTGCAACCATCACCCACCTCTGTATATTCAAGGTCAGCTAGAATACCAAGGACGGTGGCAACTTGAGGTCCCAGGCTTAAAGCTCTCTAGCTAGGACTACAGATAAGCCCGCTCCCCACCTGTACGGTGGAAACAAAAGTCTGGTCCTCACCGTCACACTATGAGGAGTGACAGAGTGAGCTTGTGGCAGGCTTGCCCCACCAGATGTGCAGACACTTTGGCTAAAGGTATCATGAGAGGTTAGCTCACCCCTAACACAGAACACCCTCTAGACGGCACCTTGACATGTGTTACATGCTTTGGGTTTTGAATTTTTATTTTTCTCCCACCTGATGCCATGCAGTTGGATCCTTTCTTACTTTGAGACAGCAAGTTGGCCTCTGGCTCATAATTCTCCTGCCTCAGCTTCTTGAATGATGGGTTCCCAGGAATGTGATGCCATGCCTAGTTAATAGTGGAAGATTTCATTCAACAATCACAGCCGGATTCTCATTAAAATCAGACTAAGCAGGCCAAGTGTAGAGCTCATGGTCAGGACAGGCTCCCATGAAGACTCAGAGGGGCCTGAGTCAAACTGGGCCACAGGAGTCTGCCTCCCCCATAATGCTGACATCATGCGCAACTATAATCAGTGAGCTAATTTTCATAACTGCTAATTAACCCTAATAACTGGTTTGCACCAGAGCTGCCTGGCTCTGCTCTCTCCTCTAGCTGAGGAACGTTTTCACCTTGGTCTCATCTGCTTCAACAGGTGTCAGGGCCCAACGCACCCTGGGAGTCAGGACTGGCCTTGCCTCTGTACAGCGTGGACTGCCCTTCTTCCTGGACTTCAGGAGCTCTCCTGCTCACCCAGGGGGACCCACTGACATCACTCCACACCTCCAAAGTTCTCAAGGGGTCACCCCAAACCAGCTTCCGTGTCTTTCCATCGGCAGGCGGGACACCAGTCTTCCTTTGTAATAGCTTTGCTCGGCTCTCCCTCCCTCCCGAGTGTCTCCTAAGAGTGAATGTTAAACCCTTTCCCTCTGCCACCTGATAGCTGGGTCTTCACCACTTCACCTGGCTGGCATTAACTTCTGAGTTTCTGCTTTCTGCAGATTAATAGAAAAGTAAATTCTTTGTCCTCCCGCCTGGTCACACACAGTGTGACTCTGTGAAAGCAGTACAGACCCTTTAAAGCCAGTTTGAAGTAAGTGGCTTGATTCCAGTGCCATGGTTGGCCAGCTGTGCCACCCGGAGCCGGTCAATTAACCTCCCTGAGCCCTGACTTGTTCAGATGTCTGGAGTTATAGGGACAGCCCGCTTGCTCTAGCAGCTCTAGCAGTGGGCCTCCCTGCTGGGAGGAAGAGCCTTTTTTTTTTCCAGAGGCCATGAAGAGCCTGTGGAATAGAGATGGAGATAGCTGCTGGGTTAGCTGCTTTCCCTCATTGCTGTGATTCCCGGCCAGAGCAACTTAAAGAAAGAAGGCCTGTCTGAGGCTCTCAGGTCGAGGGTATAATCCATCATGGCTGCTGGAGCACAATGCAGCATCAGCATCAGGAGGCAGAGGGAACATGTGACACTTAGCTGGCTTTCTCGGTTTTCACGCAGCCTGCAAGCGCAGCCCGTGGAAAGATGTTGCCCTAGATGAAGCTGGGTCTTCCTCCTCCGTTAGCCCAATCCAAACCTCCCTCATAGACAAGCCCAGCCGCTTGTCTCTAAATCCCGTCCAGTTGGCAATGTAAGCATTAAAGCCGCTGACACGCGCTTGTTTGGATGGAAGAAGGTAGAGAAGGCTTCGGGGCGGTGAGAGAGGTGTCTGGGTAAGGGGCGGGGGGGGGGGGGAGGAGGAGGTTGCTGGCTGGAATGAGGAGCACACCCAGGCCCCTCCAGCACTCTGACCATCTCCCTCTTGGATCCCCCATTTTCTTAGTCACCCCACTGCTCAGACTGTCTAAAGGCAAAGGGACCTCTGCAGGCCTTAGTCAGGGGCTCCCTGGCCGTCTGGATCTGTGGATCCATTCTCAGAACAGTACGTTCAGCTGTGTAAAATGAATGCACAAGGTTACAGAGGGGACCGATTGTGGCGAGCACAGTTAGCACAGCACCGGGACTCTTCATGTGGGAACATGCACGCTGTTTTGGGAGCATGTTAAACAAGATGTGATGGACGGCTAATAAGCGTCCTGCTCCAGAGGCTGCATGTCAAAATACCTGCTTGCAGCTGCGGTGGGGTGAGGGAAGGATGGGTGCTGCCAGTCACCGTATCCCAGGGCCTGCCCCATCACCATGGTGTAGGGGAATGACAAGTGACATTTACAAGCTGCAGAAATAGGGGCAAAAATTGTTTTTCAAACCGGTTCACAGACTCTGAATTCTGTGGATTCCAAGCCTGGCCTCGCCTTCCTGCCACCCCCCAATGACTGCTCCTCTACTGTCTCAAAGGCCCAGGGGCCTCACCTTCTGCATGGAGGGTGCCTGTTTTAATTTCCTGCATCCAACATTTCTCACCTCGATTTCCACAGCAGCCTCCCTGTCTCTACTCTCAGCCTCCCTGTGTGTCTCCACGCATCCCCTCCTGACCCCTGACACTTCATGTGTGCTAGACAAAGCACTGCCATGGAGCTATAGCCCCAGCTTCCCCTTTAAGCCCTTCCTTTAAACAGAGTCTCACTAGGTTACCCAAACTGGCACTGAACTCAGTCTGTAGCCCAGGCTAGTCTTGGTACTTGTGTCTCAGCTGCCACAGTAGTTGGGATGACAGGCCTGTATGTGCCCAGCTCCCTACGGCCACGCCACTCTGCGAGGTTCTATTCAGGCTCCACCCTGGACTAAGAACTCATCCCCAATGCAAACCTGATCCTGTCGCTCGCTTATCCCCTGGCTTTGAACCGCTCCCCGACTCCCTGTTGCCTGCAGGGTGAACCCGGGAGGGCCTCTGCAAGCAGCAAGATCCTCGCCAGCTCACCAGCCTCTCAGCACCTTTCTCCCTTGCCTCTGCCTTCCTGCCTTTCTGAATACCTGAAGCCCCAGATTAGACTCCTCACAAGCCCTTTCCCTGGGGCCTGCCCCTCCCTGAGTTGTCTGTCAAGGAAACAGTCTGGTTCCCAAGTCCTGCCTCGAATGGCTCCTCCACACCTCAGTTCAACATCACACTCCCTGGGTAGGTGTGGGTGGCCCTCCTGTCCGGGCCAGAGAAGTCCCCGGGCCACATTATGGTAACTTCACATTTCTTCAATACAGCAAACTTCACGAGAACACATACTTTTCCTTCATTTCCCCCCAAGCCCGGGCCAATGGCTAGAACCCAGCAGACCTTCCACAGATGTTGACTGAGTAAATGAATAAAAGACTGAAGCAAAGGGCAGGAGGGGTCTCAGTTGAGATCAGCAGGAAACTGGATGGAGCCAGCCGCTGCGCTAGTCTGTTGCTAAACCCTTCTCCTTTGCTGGAATTCCCTAGGTCCTCGCGGTGCATTTGATCTGGGGAGCAGGATGTAACTTGTTGAGTTCAGTTCTCTGTTCTTTGAGAAATCCCTCTGGTTTCTATGCATACCTCAATTAGAGGCGATTATGTTCCTTGTCAAAGGCTTCTTGCTTCCATTTCATTCAATGGCAGCTCTTCCAGTCCGTGAAGAATGTGATTGTCAGGCTTATAGAAATTCAATTTGCACGTGGCTTTTAGGGACAGATGTCTCACAGAGGCCAGCCATCATGGCTGGCCAGCCCCAAGGACAGTGACAATACTCTTCTAGAGCACTGTCTGCTCAGAATACTGACTTGGATCTGGAGACACCATGCATCGGGGGCCAAGGGTCTTTTCTTGCTATGCTTTCTCTGTCTCTCTGAGTCCTATGGTGGGGGAGGGCTTCTTCCTGACCATCTCCCAGGGGTCCAAGGGTGAAGAAGTCCTCACTTCAAATGGACTCCCCTTTCGCTCCTCCCTCTCTCTCCTTCCTCCCTTTCTCCTACCTTCCTTCTTTTCCTGCCCCCCATGGCTAGGGATGGAACTTGGGTCTTCATGCACGCTATGCAAGTGCTCTACCACTAGACAGCAAGCTCAGCAGAAGGGAATCCTCTGCTGTAGCCCTGTGAAAGCCCCCTCCATGCACCCCCCAATCTCCTCCTGGTCTCATGCCCAAATCCAACACACATTCCAGCTTCACCTCACACTCACACTAAGCACCACACAGCTGGCCCTAGGTGTGTGTGCTTGTCACTATAAAACCATACCCTGGTGCCAGCATGCCGTGGACATTGAGGAGATGCAATGGCCTACCCTCTTCCATCCTCACAGAGGATGGACCAGGTCCGGGTGTGCAGCATCCCCTGGTACTAAGGAAAGGGAGATGATGAGCAGCTGCCCTCTGGAACTGGTCTCCATATTCCTTACCTGAGAGCACCGTGAAGACGGCAGCAAAGGCGTTGAGCTTGAGCCCGTCTATGACGCTGCTGGAGTGGAGGAGCTCAAGACACATGAGGCTGAAGCCGACCACCAGCAGAAGGATGTAGAGCACCTCGGAGACCACCGACAGCCACAGCACCCCTGGAGAGTGAGGCAGGAGCAGGTGAGCAACAGTCCACCCGACCTGGCCAGTACCACCCACTGAAGACAGCAGGTCAATGCAAACCCAAGCTCAGCTCTAGGTTTTCCTGTGCTGTGGCACCCTGAGGGACCGGTGTGGGGTGAATCTGACACTACAGGTACAGAACAGAGCCATGTGATCTGCTTTTCCTGGGTCCCTTCATCTCAGCCCTGAGAGTCACCCTACCCCAGACTCTACATGGGCAAACTTTCTATTTCTAAGTCCATTGTGGGAAGGTTCTTCGTTACCTGAGTGACAAACGTCCCTAAGTCCATTATCTGACCTCAAGCCTTGCTTATGCCTTTACCTGCCCTGCCCTTTCCCTAGCACCCTGCCCTGCCTTTTTTCTAGAAACCACCACTGCCAGTTCCGTGGCTTTGGCTTGTGGGTCTCCAGGAGCTGCCATGCTCACCTGGACACAGGTGACTGATCTAATTTGATCATTGGCCTAGAAATGGCCTGTCACTGCTCTTCTCAAGGACTCTGAGCATGATGTCACTGAGTGGACCAGGAGGGAAGCTCACAGGGTTACTGTAAGAAACTGGAACCAGCCCTTCTTCGAGAAAGCTACTCTCCCGCCCTTCTAGTGGTTTGGTGTGTCTTCTGAGTTGCCACAGCTTCTTTTCCCATATCGACCCATCTTGGGCTGTTAGCACTGCTACCCTGCTTAGGAATGACTGCTGTCTTCCTGTCCCACATTGTCACCCCCTCCTCTTCCTGTCTGCTCGTCACTTTACAGCACCTGCTTTCTCCTGGTCTCTGTGGTTACCTTGCAGACCCCCATCCCGGCAACAAGTCTTAAGCATGCAGCTCATATCTAGTCAGCCCAAGCTTCTTGCCACCCAACTCAGGGCTCAAGAACGAACTCTGTGCCTCGGTTTCTTCTTCTATGAGGTGGGGGTAATACTAAGAATTCTGGTGCCAGCACTAGAGGAGAAATAGTTTCTTAGTACTGTGTAAGACTCTAGTTAGCCCAATGAGGAACTTGGTCACTCACTGATCTGCTGAAACTGTTATGTGGAAAGAACATGCAGACTTGTGGGAAGGGAGCTCAGGAGCTTCTGACTGAGGTCAACACTAAAGATGGAGTCACCAGGGAGGAATGAACTTGTGGGGCCATGGAAGGGGACAGAGAATACATGGTAGGAATGGAGAACCACCCAACGTGGATTCCCATCCAAGCCACCCGGGTGTGTTAGACAATTATGAGTCAAGTCTGGCAGGTTGGAGATGGACTCAAGACCCCTCTGTGCTGTGAGAGCTGGCCACAAGAGAGCCACAAGAGTCCATCGAAGGAGAAACCTGGCTCAAGTTGGGAAGATGAGGACAGTCAACTGTCAACTTGACACAATCTAGAGCCAGCTGGGAAGAGAGTCTTGATGAGCAATTGCTTGAATTGAGTTGGACTGTGGGTGTGCCTATGAGGGATTGTTCTTAGGTATGTCAATTGATGTGAGAAGAGCAGCCTAGTGGATGGCACCACTCCTCGGGTTTGGGTCCTGAACTGTGTGAGTAGAGAGGGAGCTGGGCAGTTGGCTTATGCATGTGTTCATTCTCTTTGTGCTTGACTGTGCCTGACACCAGTTGCTTCCCACCCGTAGCTCTAAGGATGGCAGAGCAGGGTTCTGGAGGGATCAACTGTTCTGTCTTTGCCTAGGAACTTCTGGGGGCCCACGGGGCCTGGGATCAAATCCAGGCTGTTTCACTGGCCATCAGGGGCCCACTCAGAACCTTAGTGATTTCTTCTGTGGAACGGGTGTCTGGGAGGAGGACCCAGGAGGTGACTATTCCCCAGAGCAGTAGTCATTGCAATTCTCTATGAAGGAAATGCCCTCAAGAGACATGAGTAGGAGATGTGGGGATGCAGGAAAGACAGGAGGGTAGGCACTCAGTGGAAGAATCGTTTTGAGCTATCTAACTTGTGTGGCACCATTGGGAAGCAATATCTCAGATCTGTGTCAACCAGGGTCTTACTGAAGTTCTCACTGGTCAACCTGACTGGAGGGCACAGAGGGAAATACATGCTCTGATGGGCAGACAGAAAGGGCTCCAGGTGCCCCTACGGGTGCTGGGAGATTGGTGGGACCCCAGGGTCCCTTATCGCAGGGTCTATAACAAATGTCTGTTTCCACTTTTATTATGAGTGTTGTTGCTACTCTTAGTATGACAATTACAATTTCTGCTATTATTATTTTGCTTATGTCTCATAGATAAGGTCTTACTCTATAGCCCAGGCTGGTCTAGCACTCAGATCTTCCTTCCAGAGTGCAGGGATTACAATAGTGTGTCACTATGCCCAGCCTGTTATTATTCATAGCTCCTTTGGGTTAAATGGGTGGAGGCTTCCTGCATGTGCTCCAGAGCCCAGTGAGAAGATAAAGAGCTAAATGTAGCCGATTGCCCCAGCCTAGTTCTGGGGTACAAGTGCCAGATTCTCCATCTTCAACAGCACAACCTCATGCCCCAGACCCAGTGTGCTTCCCACTGGCACTTTGTCTGACTGCCTAGTGATGCCCTGGTTACCAGTGCTGTCACCAGTGCCTACTGTATTCTCAAGGAACCAACCTCACTCTCAAGAGGGAAATAAGAGTCCCCTGAAGCAGTTTCTGAGATGCAGGTGGCACAGTTCTATTTCCTCACAAAGATTGAAACAATGAGTTGAACCAAAGAATGAAGAATCAGTTTTATTCCCTTTATTCTGAAAATTCTCATTACCTCCATCCAAAGGGTCCTTAGTGGTACAAATAATGTATTCTTAAAACCTTTCTAACACTTCCCAATTTGGGATGTATGGTGGATATCAGGGTCTCATGAAGTCTAGGCTGGCCTCCAACTTGATATGTAGCCCAGGATGGACTTGAACTCCTGATCCTCCTGCCTCCACAACCCAAATGCTTGGAATACAGGCATGTATCGTCAATGCCTAATTTTATGTGGTCCTAGAAACTGCACCCAGAGATTCATGTTAGGCAAGCACTCTACCAGCTACATCATAACCCACGCCCCTGCTTGTCAATTTTTAAAAGGAGGGCAAGCCTCTGGCCCAGCATGTTCTGTGTAGTTATTTCCTGTGCTGGCAATTCTCTGTAGATTTCCTTTCAACCCCACCTCCCCCCTCTGTGCCCACCCAGACATCCTCCCATGGCTCTGCCCAGGTCTGTGCCCAGGGACCTGAGCTACCCATACCCATGTCTCAGCCCTCAGAGGCAGTGAGACGCTGGTGTCTGCCTGCCGCACCCCTGTCCAGGACTGCCTTGCTGCCTTGGCTCTGTTCTGCCTTCTTGGCTTTAAGCAACCTCTCCTCCTGGCTAGGGTAGCACCACTGTCAGCAGTGGGGATATTAGAGCCCTCCACTCCATAAAGGTAACTGCTCTGTGCCATTTGAACAATTCACTGTGCCCCGGGGACTCTCCCATCAGAGTGACTCCTGTGCTGTTTGGAGGATCCCCAGCCCCTCAAGGACCCTCCCTGGCTCGTCTTTTCATGGGGGTCAATTATGGTCTTCCATCAAATGTAGATTCATGTCAATGGTCCCAGTAGATTCTTAGCCAGCTCTACAGAGGCACTGGGAACTGGTGAAGGGAACAGAGGCTCAAACTCCACCTGATACTACTGGACTCTGGGAGCTGTGTTCTGTAAACTGCTACAGCCTACAGTCACTGCAGAAATCAGCATGGAGGCATTGCAAAACAACAAAACAAATCCAGAATGACCATATGACCCAGTCACGTCATTCCTGGGTTATACCCCAATTCTGCATGTCACAGAGACACCTACACGTCAGTGCCTATTGCTCCTCTAGTCTCAGTAGATACAGAGCCAGCAGATGAGCAGATAAGGAAAATGCTGAATATGCACAGAAGAATATTATTCAGCCACAAAGAAAGAATGAAATGATGTCATCTTTAGGGAAATACACAAGACTGGAGTCATCATGTTAAGTGAAATAAGCCAGACTCGGGAAGGCAAATCACATTTTCTTCTCATTATCAGAATCTATATTTAAATTAAGTAGAAGGGAGACTGTGAAGGGTATCAGTAGGGGAGGGAGGATAAGAGAAGGGTGAAATTGATGGAAATACATTATTTACATGTGTGATTGTCACAGTGAAGTCATTTTTTCTTTACAAATAATATACACTAATTAACACAGAGAGAGAAGGAAGGCACTGACAGAGAGGTGCCTGCTCTGACTTTAATGAGACTACAGCGATGCAGACACATGTGCAGACATTCCCATCTTCCTTTTAAACACACACATAGAAAAGGGAGTTGGCTTTGGGAAACATAAGTCAGTGCTGGGATGACAAGTGTTGGTGTCTGGAGGGCACAGTGGGACAGCAATGGGAGGCTGCAGCCCCATTGGTGAACTGGGAGAGAAGGGAGCATTGCCACCCCCATGCAGAGCCTGTGACTCTGTGATGGAGGATGGGTCTGTAATCAAAGACAGGATGGGGCCCATCTCCGAACTTGCTGCTAATAGCTAGATTTGCAGCAGAGAATGGGTGACCTTCAGGGGCAGAAGAAATGGAAAGATTTCTCATCAGGTGGGGCCGAGCTGACAGTTAATCCTGTTAGCTGCACTTTTTGCCTTTTTAAAAAACGGCTTGGTGAGGTCAACTCTTACCCACCATTGATGGGATTGATGGGTTTGCAGGAATGATTTCCGTTCCTTGCAGTCTCTCCTCTGCCTAGAGCCAGCTAGGGCTGGCTCCTCACTGAGCTCAGAGACACCTGGGGAAATCGAGCCTCGGCCTCCTGTGACCTTGAATGGGGGTCATCTCCATCCCTCGTTGCCCTCATTTGAGAAATGGGCACGGTAGACATGGAGCCAGAGTGACAGACAGTGCAACAGAAGTCCCTGTGGGTTCCAGGGACCTGATGCTGGTGTGTGTGTGTACGTTAAGTAGGACCGTTGCTGGTGAACAAGTATAAGTATTAACAGTTATAGTCAGACCTC